TGGTAAGAAACAAGCCTGGCTAAGGCTGGGGATTCATAAGTAAGAAAAAGTCTGTATGTATTTATTTGGGAGCTGGGTGGAAGGCCCCTGAAAGAGCCAAAGAGTAAAATAAAACAACCAATAACTGGTTTCGGGTTTTGTTTGTTGGTTATTGTTTTAAATTAATTGACTTTTTTTTAAAAAGACTTGTTCCTGAAAACAAAACATTTTGGATAATACAAGAATTAAGTCTTCCAGCTGTAGAATACCCAGAGTTAGATTTTTACCAATCTGTCTTGGAGTCAGCAGGCTCATCCCCAGGCGGGAGGAAGTACCAATGGGTGTGACTTTAGATGCAGCTGTGTGTACCAATATTGTTTGTGTGGCAGTACATCACAGCCCTGATTCCTCAGAGTTCCCTGCTTTCTTCTCCCCCTTCCTCCCACCAAGACTGAAGTTGAAGAAAGGAGAGGGAGCTTGATCATTAACTGGGACCATCACCCAAAAGAAAGGGGAGGGGAGAGATGTTGGAACATGTGAGTTCCCAACAGGTACTTGCATGACCCTGTCTGGTTAGCCAGTAGAAGATATGCTGGTTACAGGTGCCAGGGAAGCCACAGAGGTTTGCATGGTGAGAGGCTGAGCCTTGGCAGACTGGCTTCTTCTGTGATGCATAACGTGCCACAGAGGTTTCATCTGAAAGGCCGTATCTAAAATTGGACCATATTTATTGAGTAAATATCTGCCCAGCAGGGAAGCTTAAGAATGGGAAGAAAACCAGAGAAGTAGCTAATCAAGGAAGCACCAATGCATATTTGATGAACGAATGAATCACTCTTATCCATGAGTGAACCTTTAAGAAAAAGAGAAATCTAACCCTGATATTCAGGGCAGTGCTGATAGGATAGAGCATGGTGCTGCTGGCAGAGATGGTCACAGCCCCTTTATCCTCTGAGATTTTAGCCCCATGATGGGTCTGTTTTGAGTAGTGGGTGAATAGGCTCCTAGCCACACCTGATCATCTGCTAGGTTAAAAAGGACTCATCACCAGTAGCAAGCATGGCTGCAGGGTCCCAACCCCTCAGCAGCACAAAAGCACAAAATGACCTGCACAGCACAAAGGAGACCACAGCTTTGTGCTTGGCATCGTTCCTGGAAATGCAGAACAGGCTTCTTGATTCCAGTCTCCAGGCTCCTGGCTCCAGAAGAACACTGCCTGGCTGTGAAGCATTTTATAAGATTATAACTGGTTGTGCTGAAGGAGAGCTCTGAAAGGTGTTTTGTGCTGTTGCTGTTAGGAAAGCTGCTGTTGGCAGTATTGTTCCTAAACTGTAAACACACACACACACACACACACACACACACACACACACAGTGGCGAGGCCGGTGGAACACTCACTGCAATTGCTCAGCTGGGAGACCTTGCTGGGCTGGTCTAGCCTCCCTCAAAATCAGACTCTAGCCTGGCTCTGTACTTGGGATCCTTCTCATCGGGCAGCCTGTTGGCTAACAGTCTTTGGTCACTCACACTCCTACTTAGAATCCCAGACAGTTTGCCCAGTCCCCAGTCAGCAAATAATGAAGCAGAGGGAGAGGCCTGGAACCTGGAAACAAGGCAGAAATTTGCACAGGGTGAGAAACACTGTTAAAAATTGTCCTGTGGACCACATACATAGCTTGTATATCATATCCCAAATTGCTAGCCTAGTGTATGGGCTTTATTGTAACGTGTGTGTGTGTGTGTGTGTGTGTGTGTGTGTGTGTGTGTATCTTTAATGTATATATGTATGTATGTATGTATGTATGTACGTACATATCTTTAAGAATTTAAAGATGAGGATCCTATTTGGTGGTAAAACATTCAGTCTGTGAAAACCTGGAAGAATCAGAACCCAATGACCCTGGAGATTTCCATCATAACTTTCACACTCATTTTGGAGCTTAGCCCTTTTTGCAGTAGTTATTAGTTACAGACTATTAGCAATTCTCCCTTTCTCCCTCCATCCTTCTTTCCAAGCCTAGAGAAATAGTTTAAAAAAGTTTTCTGCATGTATGTTATTCACTAATTTTATGGTTCCTAGTATTTTTAAAGAAAGGCAAAAAACAAAATCTTAAGAGAAAAATGTATATGGTAGGCTTATTATGTAATATGATTGTTATTTGCTGTACAATAATCAAACTTGGGGCTCAATTTCTCTCCCCTATTTTTCGTGTGTTTTCTCATGTGTATGAGTGTCATTGGAGACCAGAAATCAGATCCTCTGGAGTTATGGGTGGTTGTGAGCTACCTGATGTGGGTGCTAGGAATTGAACTTGGATCCTCCTAAAGAGAAGCAGATGCTTTTAATTGCTGAGCCATCTCTGCAGCCCTTCTTCCCCCATTTTTAAGGGTTTACTTATTGTCACCCTGTGTTTTTGGTGTCACACTGCCTGGCTATCCTAAGAATATTGAAGAAAGCGCCCATGCCAGGCTGTGGTGACCACACCTTTAATCCCAGCACTAACCAGGCAGAGACAGGTGGATCCCTGTGAGTTTGAGGCCAGCCTGGTATACAAAGAGAGTTTCAGGACAGCCAGGGCTGTTATACAGAAAAACCCTGTCTCAAAAAGCAGACAAATGAAAAACAGCACGCCAATACCAGGGCTGTGGTAATTTGTTGGGGTAACTCCCCATTAAGTGCTGTAAGTATGTTTTCCAACTGGAGAACAAAGCCCAGAAAACTTCATAAGGATAGAAGCTCATTCCCAGATGAACTGTTGGTGCCCAGGGTCTTGTGTTGAGATTGTCAGTGAGTCCTGGAAGAGCATCGAAAGGAAAAGGAGGAGAGGCCCAGGGTGCTTTGGCTCTGGGACATGTCACTGCCTGTAGGCCTGGTTTGGTTGGCTGTCCTTGGAGATGGAGTTCCCTTCAGCCCTCCACTATACTTGGCCAAGCTTGCAGGGAATATGAATGTGTTGGTGAGTACTCACCTTCAGTGCAGCTCAGGCTGAAAAGATTGAACAGAAATACCATCAGGGAAAATTAGCAAGTCTAAGGTGCTCCTCCCATCTCCATGCCTCTTTTGCTTCCGCTTTCCAGTTTTTGCTTCAGGTTCTATACTTGGGAAGAAAATCCAGTCTCAATAGGAACCCATCATTTAGGAGCCCTGTTTACACATACAATTCTTCCTGCATCCAAAGGCAGGCAGTCAGGCAAGAAGATAGGTGGTTTTGGTGCCAGGATGTGGATTTGGTACCTGGCATGGAAGATCTACACATTAAGCAGTTTCCTGCCAGTGAAAGTAGGAACTGGTAGGTTCTGACCTCATCTGGAAACAGAATACTGAAACGGGGTCTAAATTTCTCCATCACACTGTCTCCCTCTCATCCAAGAAGCAAAACGAAGAGTCAGTATCTCCCTGTACCAACTCCTGATGTATCCGTGCCTTTTTCACGAGTATGGAAAGACACCATAGTGAAGTTTACAACAAATGTAATTTGTATTTTGAGGAAATTATAACTTTAAGAAAATCAATCTCTTCTTTTCTGAGTGACAGGTGAATATATTATTCTTGTAAGAAATTGAAAAACATTAGCTGTAACTTTAAAGTCCCTTTATCCACTAATTCTAACCCTTTCTAGTCCCAGATGTTTCTCCTCTGCCATCAGGGACAGTGTAAGCTTGCTGCAGATTCTTTCAGACACTCAATGTTGTTGACCTCTAAGTATGTCTTTGTAGAAAATACAGGGAAAAAAGTACTCTCTTTGTAGATGTGCTTTTAACACAAGTGGTATTGTACTGTTTTGTTACACATTATTGTATTTTAGATGCTAGACATTGAACTCAGGACCTCATCCTTGCTAACTACTCTACCAAAGATCTGTAATTCCAGCCCTTTGCAATTATTCTCAAATTGAGGCCAGAATAAAGGAGATCTTTCAGTTCTACACCCATAGACCCATCTTCTTTCTGATCGCTATGAGGTAGTATTCTATCGCGAGGAAAGTTTACTTAAGCTCTCTCGACTGAGACTGAGAATGTTACCATTGTTTCTAGTTTTGTTTGTTTTTTACTGGCTTGGGCAGAGCTCCAGCAACGACTTTGTAATTGCTTCTTGGGCATTTACAACGTCTACGCTTCCCCAGAAAAGATCCCTGAAGGCGTGGTCTTCGCTTTAGGCTGGAAACAGACGAAATTAGTCAGCGTGGGTGTACGGGCGAACGGCTGGAGGGGACTCAGTGCGTGGTGGAAAGGATTTACCTCTCGGCTGTGAAGGATGTGGTTACACGGTGCTTTTTTTCAGAACTCAGTGAACTGCCCATTTAAAATGGGTGCATTTTACTGTTTGGGCTACTTTTACCCCCAATAACTTTCATTTAAAAAAAAAAAGAAGCGTCGAGGACAGCTAGAGCTATGAAGAGAGACCCTGTCTCCCCCCAACCCCCGCCCTCCAAAAAGAGCGAGGTGGTAGTGACGCACACCTTTAATCCCAGCACTCCGGAGCCAGAGACAGGCGGATTTCTGTGAGTTCGAGATCAGCCTGGTCTACAGAGCGACTTCCAGGACAGGCTCCAAAGCTACAGAGGAAAAACCAAAAATAAATAAATAATAAAAAAATGTGCTGTCTGGCTTGCAGCTTTACCTCTCTACAGGCCCTTTGCTCTATCTTCTCACAACCGACTGTTCTACTAGTGGAGCGGTCTCCTGTGTGGCGGCTCTGTGAGTGTATTCCCTGAGGTCCCTAAAGCTGGCAGAACCACCCCAGACGCTAGAGGTGTCTGCAAGTTCGCACCTGGCGCTCCTAGGAGGAATGGGTGGGCCTCTCTAGCCCCGCCCACTCGCCCGCCCTCCGTGGGCGTGTCCTGAAGCGGCCCCTCCCCTCCCTCTGGAGCCCCAGCGTCGGGTCCACCGGCTAGAAGCAGCTGTAGGTGTCCGCGTCGCCGCTGCCGGCACCGTGGAGCTCGGGCCCTCTTTCACCCGGGATTTTTGTTGTCGCCTGGCGCCAGCTGTGACATCCCAAAGGGCAGGCCCGGCAGCCGCCATGGTGGCCAAAGATTACCCCTTCTACCTCACTGTCAAGAGGGCGAACTGCAGCTTGGAGGCACCCCTGGGCAGCGGGGCGGCCAAGGACGAGGTAGGACGCGCCCTCCACCACCTGCACCTCCCGGCTCCTCCGCCGCCTTACCCTGTGTACTGTTCTCTTTCTTTCCATCTCCCCTGCGTGCTGCGTTTCTCCCGATTGCCACTTGAAATGTTTCCCTCTCAGGTCTTCTCTGTGAGTCCCCTATCCCTGCCCCTCTCCCTGCGCCCGGGAACTGCAGCTCCTCGCCGCTGCCTCTTTCCTGCCCGAGCGAGCGTCTCTGTCTAGAGCCGGCAGACACCTACCCCTGACCTGCCAGGAAGACCTAGGTGTCAGCAAAGAGCCAGTCAGTAAAGCAATGTCTCCCCTTCCCCGGCCAGGGTTGAGAGAGCCTTAAGTTCTTGGGGACCGGTTGAGACGGCCAACCAGACGAGACACAACTTGGTTTTGCAGCTGTTTGAGAGCAAGGGCTGGACAGGGCACTTTTACTTGTCACATGTAACCAATAGAAGAGGCTGTCGTCATTTAGTTGAGCTAAATGAGTAATTGATGATCTTCTTCGTGACTGCTGAAATGAATTATACCTTGGTGAATGAGAAGCTGCACTGAAATACTGGAAGCAGTTCCCTTCCTGGGAACTTCGTTAGGCCTTTGGGTAACTGAGGAAGTCCTCTCAGTTTGATTTGACTTTTCCCCCCATGTGTCTTGTCTCTGACTGCCCTTTGAAGTTGGTTAGGTTCAGCTGGAGGAGAAGGCGATCCTCATTTTTGAGAGGTTTGGAGAAGGCGGTTCCTTTATCAGACCCCAGCTTTGCTGTGGTGGAGTCCATAGGACCAGATCATCTTGGTGTGTGGGGGAGTGGGGGGTTCCCACTCTCCTCCGTCTCAGTCTGAGAACCAAGACAAGGGTGGGCTGTAAAGCTGGAGGCAGGTGTCTCGATTGAGTTCCACCTACACACCACACTCAAGTTTGTTCAGTGTGTGCGCTTGACTCACTGAATTCTGTATAGGTGGGGAGGGGGCGTAGCATCAGAGATTCATTTCCTCCTATAGATCGCTCCCACCCCACCCCCAACAGGACTCCAGAAGTCTCTGGTTATAGTCCCGTTTTTTTTGTATGCTGAGTACAGGCTAAATCTCTCTCCTTTCCCTAGCTCAGTTGAATATTTTTAGAGTTTTTAGTCTCAGCAGCTGTGGAAGTGTGGTGGGTTCTCATTTGTTTGGATAGAACGGCACCTTTGTGGAGTTCAGGTTGTTCAGGAATGGATATGGGTTTTCAATAGCAGTGGAGCTAATGGCTCCTCAGACTCCTGGGAGGAGAAAAAGCAAAAACCAATTTGGTTAATAAATTAAAGTGGGCCAAAGAAAACAATAGTTAAAATAGCTGTGGATTCTGACCAGTTTTTTTTTTCTATCTCTCTGTCCTGTGTTTTGTGGTTCTTTGGTAAAGGCTTAACTAAACCTGCCTGCGTATTCATTTCTTGCTAGTCATAGTCTGTAGACTACACTGTAAAAATTCATGAACTGTTATGCCAGTTTTCTTCATGGCTAGTTGGAGAAATAGCAACATCCACAAAATAAAATATGCTTTATTTTTCTCTTTGTGAGGATGTGCTTGTGTAAAAACAAGGATGGGAGATAAATGCTTTTGGGAAATAGTTGGTAAATATTTTTCAGATATTGACATTGAGTTTTTTTATAATTATTTTTGCCATAATAAAAGTACACTTTACACAACTTGAGGCAGAGATATGTGCCTCCAACTTCCTTGGCCAGGTGTAAATCACTTCCTAATAGTGGAGATACGCATAGTTAGTTAGTAAAAAGAAACCTAACTGGCTTCTGGGGGAAGTTTTCTCGTTTCTGTCAGCACAAAAGGCAACCTCTTCAGACCATACTTCTTGCAAGCGGCGGACTGAAATATATTTTCTGCCAGTAGGTGTCGCCAGTATTTGGAAATGTCTTTAAAAAAAATCACTGTCTTTTTTAAAAATGTGATTATATAATTGTTTATAAAGAAAGTAGATATTGATTGTTAGGTCCTATGAAAGTTTCTTTTTTTAAGAGATAGTTTTTTCTTTGTAAAAAGAACAATAACAATAATAAAAGGAAACTGGTCTATCTGAAGGCCTTCTTGGGTTGATAAAAACTCGTTGACCTTCAGTGGTACTTGTGCCTGAGCACCTATGCCTGGTACAATTGTGTGATGGCAGTTCCGCTTGAATACCCTCTAGGGAGGATCATGTGTGCAGCATGGCACCAGCCAGTTCCTGTTAGCACTCAGGCACCAGCAAGGTGATGGCCACTTAACAGAAACGGGGGAGGAGCAGGCTTTGGTGCACACCAGATGCCACGTACCTGAGTAAAATGATGCAGATGCTTCTCTTAAAAGTAAATAATAAAGTTTCTCTTTAGGATTTAACTTAAATGCTTCTTTTTTATTTCAGTGGCAGCTTCCAGTAAAAAATTATATATATTTAAGGTTTTTCTTTAAAAAATCTATTTTTCGAGACAGGGTTTTTTGTATAGTTTTGGCTGTCCTGGACCTCAATTTGTAGATCAGGCTGGCCTGGAAAGGCAGAGATCCACCTGCCATTGCCTCCTGATTGCTGGGATTTAAAGCATGAGCCACCACCACCCAGCACAAATGTTTAAGCCTATGATTGTTCAGCTGTAATCATAACTGAAATGTGAGGAGCTTGGTACATAGCTCTGGATTTTTACAAAAGAATGTCATATGACATGAGCAGTTTATTTCTTCTGATCATTGACACAACTTTGCTCAGTTTATCTCCATTTTCATGTTCATGAGAACTTTGATCACCTCCTGTTGGGAGGGAGTGCTCACTCTAGGACGGGTAGGTGCTATGAATATCTAAATATTGTACCTAAATAATAAACACCCATATACTAAGAGGGAAGCTGATATTGCTATTGAACCAGACTGATTTCCACTTAAAAGTCTGTTTCCCCATGGTGGGGTTTGTTTAAAATAGCCATTAGGTTCAGTAGCCAAGTGTGATTAAGAAAATTAAGAATGAGAACAGGCTTTTAAGAGTTTTGGGTCAACTTTATGTTTCTCTCTCTCTCTCTCTCTCTCTCTCTCTCTCTCTCTGTGTGTGTGTGTGTGTGTGTGTGTGTGTGTGTGTGTATGTATGTTCAGGCATGTGGAGGTTAGAGGACAACTTCTACTCCTGTCCTCCCAAAGTACAATCTGAGGATTGGACTCAGGCCATCAGGTTTGTATATCACGTGCTTTTACCTGCTGAGCCATCTCATTGGCCCTCAGTTTCATTTTTAATGGAAATCCAAACAGACATTTCTTTGTGTTTGGTCTGGGATTTTGGTAGACTGCTCACTTTTAGTGTAGATGTTTCTTGGCATCAGGCCTCATTTGGTTGGTGGTATTTCTGGCCATTGTCTTTATCTCTTGGTGCTTATAAACATTTCAGTACACAGATAATAGGTATACCCTGGGCTCCCAAAAGTATAGGTTCTAGTTTTTACCCAAGCAGGAGCCTTGCATAGTTCTATGAATAATGGTATACATTGGATATAAAATTATAGCATTCTACCCTCTTTCTAATTCTACCATGTCTAGATCTCTCTTAAAACTCCTGTCATGTTGTAGTTCATCACAAGCATGCATTATCATTCCACCTTTGTGAATAAGGCAGAAATCTACAAAGAAAATCCAGCCTGATCCAAGATCCAATACCAGATTTCCTGGTGGATTCCAGTATTCAGTACTTCAATCATCTAATGGAAAAGTAAAACAAAAATGGAGGGAAATACAAAACAGTCATATAAAATGCCCTGAATAAATATTTTATTTAAATTTGCTATCTTAACCATGTAACTGAGAAGGTGCCTCTGAAGCTTTAGGGCTTGGCAAGGTGGACACTGTGTTCTGCTCTGATTTATGCCTCCCCAGTCAACAACTGTATTTATCCACTTGGCTCTGCACTCCTTGAGTGCCAGTTACAGGGCTAAGTGGTCACTGGTTTCCTATGCTTAGCTTTTCTTGGAGTCTTCATCATATCATGTTGAACTGTCAGTATATATGACCAACTGCATGGAAACTATTGCAACTGGACCCTAAAATTTCTTTAGATGGCTTAGTTGGCCTCAGATTTTACTAGGTTGAAAAGTCCCATAGTTACCCAGAGAAATGTCATTATTCAGTGGTAGTGTCTGATTGTGGCCACTAGGCCATCACTCTGAGGCTTGTTTAGCTGTAAGGGCATCTTAGAGATGTGGTTCTTCAAGATGAGCATATACTGGCTAAGATATATTAGAGGAAAGAAGGTTAACTCTATACATGTTGACTTTAAGGTTGTTCAAGGCATTGGCTCTGGAATAAGACTATCTGGGTCCCCTCATCTTCCCTGCCACCTGATAGTGGAGTGACCTTGGGCAAACCATTGTGCTTCTCTGTGTATCAGTTTTCTCTATGGTAAAATAGAGATGATGATAGTGCTGCCTCCTAGAACCAAGTGAGATAATTCATGTACTGGCACATAGTAATCTCAATGAGTATTATCAAGCCAGGTGTAGTGACTCACACCTGTAATCTTAGCAGAAAGTAGGGGTGGGAGGATTCATGAGTTCAGGACAAGCCTGGACTGCAAGGCTTGTGTCCAAAAGTCAAGGCCTTTTGTCCAAAAAAAAAAAATTTACTGTCTAATTTACTGAATACTATTTTCATATATAACCATGCATGGGAGCCTTCATTTGTATTTACTTCACTTTGATCATGATCACAATAATCATACGAGGTTGGTGTTAACCTCTCGTCTTTGTTAGGGTTATTATTGCTGTGATGAAACACCATGTCCAAAAGCAAGTTGAGGGGAAAGAGTTTACTTGGCTTATGATTCCATACCACAGTTCATCATCAAAGTCAGGGCAGGAACTTAGAGGCAGGAGCTGATGCAGAGGTCATGGACGGGTGCTGCTTACTGGCTTTCTCCCCATTGCTTTCTCAGCCTGCTTTCTTATAGAACACAGGACTACCAACCCAGGGATGGCACAACCCACAAAGGGCTGGGCTTT